TGGCAGAATAAGTAAACAAAGCAGCTGGCATTAGTATGGCATTGAGAAGTGTAAGGAACAATACATACCTGGAGCTAAGATTCCGCAAGCCAATAAAAATGGGTTGATGCTGCAGAGTTTGGTGATGAACTCAAGTTCACCATTTCTTGTTTTTTGATAAGATGGACAAAGTTGTTATAAGCTATGGACTTATTGGAAATGTTCTGTTCTGACTACTTTTTGTATGAAAATCAGTTATTAATTGCTTGAGTGAAGAGACAAAATTAACTTGGGAGGTCAAGAAGCTTGAGGTTATGAAAGAAGGGCTTTATCAGATTAGGGATGTTCTCATAGACAAAAGCATTGGATATAAGGAAACTCGCCACCAGGAGAGTTTAGTGCACAAGAAGTTGACTAAGACATTGGGCCACTCATCACGATGTGTCTTCACACTTCTTCTTTATTATCTTTATGGTAGCATCTGGGATATTGAAGTTGAAGTTTGTGGAGGACTCTATGCCATTGGTCACGGGGATAAATTCCGTCTATGCATGGGAAAGATTTTAACATCCACTGAGCAGAATATACTGCAGAGTGGGGTTAAACAGCTAAGCAGAGTGCTGGGGCTTTTCAAGTTTGTAGGGGAAACTGCAGGAATGAAAGGCGACCTAGAAGTACAAGGCCATTTGTGTTGCGTTGGTGCGGAGAATAAGTCATTTACCTATAGAAACAATCTGTTCTTCTTGCATTCTATTAGTTACTGATGTGAGACGTTTCTCTGACAATGAGAACTAGAAAGATTCCACCAGAGGATGATGTATTCATCAATGAATGTGTATCGTAGATTATTCTATGTTCAAAACCTGGGTCGGTGTTTTAGACTGTGTACCCGAGCGGACAACTCGAGTCGAGGAGGGGGCAACTTACCGGGAACCAAAAGGTCATCCGGCTTCGTAACTTGTCCGGCCTCTTTCTTATTTCAAGGTATGACACTAACAGAATAGGGAGTCTCGACCAGCGAGCTTCTCCCCGGAGGTAAAGGGAGAAGGGTTTCGGCACAATTTATATACATTTCAGATAATATCAAAGCGGTAAAAGCATCATTTAGCACACTAGGCATATATCATGTAACAGAATCAGATAAAACCAAATATAACAATTCATCTAAGCTCGAATTTCTAACCCTGAACCAGTGGTTCTGGGCCACATCCCCAACAGAGTCGCCAGAGCTGTCACACCTCCTTTTTCCGCCCCGCGAGGGGTGAAGGAGTTTTTCCAATTAAAGGACAATCGAAACNGATGAAGAAGTTATACATATGCAACCCCATTACTCATTAATTAATCGACTACATTTTTATACAAAGAAAGGAAAATTATATTCAAACACAAATCTAAACAGGAGGGATTCAACAGGAACAAAGCCTGATTAATATTTCATTTCGCTTCAAGCCGAGAGTGTACAAATGTGTACCTGGAAATGGCAGTACAAGAAGAAAAAGAAGTAGGAGTCAGCAACAGTAATAACACAGCAACAGCAGGTTCAGCAACACCGCAAAACCAGTAACGACCAGTAGAATAACCCAGTAACGGATTGAAAAATCAGCAATACCAAAGTGCAATCGCAGTCAAAGCAGAAGAGAGACGGATACAAGATGCAGTAGTTTACTGATTTTGAATAACACTCAAGGAAAGGCAAACGGAAATTATTCAAGTGAAAGTTCAAATTGTCTTTCTCTTTTCAAAACTCTACCACACTTCTTTCTTATTTTCAGAATGTATTACTCTAAAAAATATTCTCACCAAAAATCTCTCTAGAAAAAAAATCCCCCCTCCTCCTTTTGATCTTCCTTTTTGAAAAGAAGACATCATTATCCACTTTTTCCTTTTTGCTTTTATCATTACGTCTTGTCCCCCACCATAATTAAATAATCTGCAATTGGTTAATTCCCGTATTACCCCTAAAACTACTGTTACTGCCCTGATTCAAAATCTGTTATAACTTCAAAAATCTATCCAAATAACAATTATCGCACATTTAAATAGCAATTAACTATAAAAATCACACAAGTTAGACGTTAAATGCTAAAAATGCAACGTACATTATTTTTATGATTTTGTACAACAAACTTAAATAAATACTAAATACAAATGCGACATATTTTTGTAATTTTTTATTAATTTAACCAATAAACACGCACAGACAGAAATACAAATAATTATCAAAAATGCCACAAAAATTCTAAAATTGCACACAAAGGAAAATTGTTTTATTTTGGATTTTTTGGGAGAAATTCTCTCATAGGGCAAAAATCACGTGCTTACAATATTGAGTGCTAAAATAATGTTGGTTTAGATCAATGCTGGTTTTCGTCGTCCAACAGTCAACTAAACCATTTAATTGACGCGATGTCCCCTGATATTAAAATTCTTGACGAACGGCATTCTGCTATGTGGAATCTCAACCTTAAGTATAAAACAACACTTGAACGGCTTTTATATTTGTCAAATTTGGTCAGAAAACATGAGATTCTCACAAGGACAACTCAATGGTTAATTTCCTATACTAGGCGAAGCATGTACCAATGTTATCCCGAAATATGCAAATTTTGAAAGCAATGGAAGTATGGAACTGCACTCCACCATCTGAATACTTGGCCACTTATTACTACCTCTTTCTTGTTATACTATTATTACCAAGTCTCCAAAATTTGCTTTTATTTTAAGCACCCGTTTGGACATAGACTTTGGCTATGTCCAAAAAAAATTGAAATCATTATTTGTTCATGAAACTTGATCAGTTTTTGCAAATTAAAATTGGTTTGGGCAGTGTTTCGGTGGAATTTTTCTTTCACTCACAAAATTTTAAGTTCTTTTTCAAATAAAATGTATGTCAAAACATAACTTCAACTTCCAAAAATTATTTTTCAACACAACTTCAGAAATTCTTTTTTTAAAGTTTCAACCAAAACCAAATCTATGTCCAAATTCATACTTTAACTGTTTATATACATAGTTTATGGTATACTTTAACCGTTGTAACATGGTTATTATATACGTTTACAAAAATTAATGGGAAACTACCAGCTATGTCCATTTATAAGTAGCTTATTACAAAAATTGGAAAATTCATAAAATATTACTACTATTAATCAAATGTTACCAATGTTAGCCAATTAGCTATTTGTAGCAAAAAAAGTCAAATTTTTGTTTTCTTTTGAGTGAGTGTTATTAAAATAGATTGGGTACATCTTAAGTAGTTTGAATCTCCGTTTTGGGATGATTTGGTGGAGTTTTGAGGTAGTTTTTACTGAAAATTCGAAGTAAAAGATGAACATGAAAAAAATGATGTGTATCACACTGTGTATCATTTGTGTAGCACATACGTACCATATTTGTATTCAATGTGTATCACATATATATCCATGTACACATACGTGATACATGTGTCGCTAAGTATTTTTTTAACTCGATTTTAACCACGAATTTTGATATCAAATTTGTCACGACCCAAAATCCACTGAGGGTCGTGATGGCGCCCAACACCATTGTCGGGCAAGCCAACGCGGAAAATACTAAATAAACGTTCATTTACTTTTACCCAAAAATAGTTGCCATGATTCTTTAAGTTGAGATAAAATCAGAAAGGATCAGTAAAGTCAAAATAATCATACAATCCCAAAAATAATACAGTATACTAATGTGTGTGCCAAGACCTGGTGTCACAAGCTGTGGACAACTAGCAGAATATACAAAAGAATCACACTATCCTACTGTTGACTTGTGAGACCTACGTGAACCTAGTACTCTGATACCATATTGTCACGACCCAAAATCTACTAAGGGTCGTGATGGCATCCAACACCATTGTCGGGCCAGCCAACGCGGAAAATACAAAATAAACTTTCATTTACTTTTACCCAAAAATAGTTACCATGATTCTTTAAGTTGAGATAAAATCAGAAATGATCAGTAAAGTCAAAATAATCATACAATCCCAAAAATAATACAGTCTACTAATGTGTGTGCCAACACCTGGTGTCACAAGTTGTGGGCAACTAGTAGAATATACAAAAGAATCACACTATCCTACTGTCCGAAATAGAATAGACAGCAAAATACATAAGAGAGACTCCTTCAGGCTGCTAAACGGCACGAAAAGGGAAGCAGCTCACCGTAGAAGTCTCGAACTCCACTCAAGGATACGCACCAGACTGATAGCCAGATACACCTACCTCAGATCCTGTACAATTAAGTACAGAAGTGTAGTATACGTACATAAACAATATGTACCCAGTAAGTATCCCGTCTAATCTCAAAGAAGTAGAGACGAGAGGTCGACTTGATACTTACTAGGGTCAAATAATATGAGAAAGAATTTATAATAAGCATGGATAGCACAATTTATTAGCATTATATGACAAGGAATAACAGTTCTTTTTCCAAATAATATCATGGGTATCCATTTACGTTTCAAGGCATATATGAAGTTCAGTCCACAGAGAAATACTAGGTAAAGCATGTGCAAGTAACACCGAGGGATGTACAACCCGATCTAACATAAAAGTAAATTGTGCACTGCAGAGGGTCGAATGGCTCGAACCATAGATGCATCTATTACTCTGCTCGCGAATCACACGTGTGACGCGGTCAAATATAAATAAACTCATCAATCAAGCAGAAAATAATGTATATCTGAGGAGTAGTTGTTCACTGGAATATCCAAATTCTCTTTTACAAGACCAAGCAGGATAAGGTTCCTCTACTAGTCTCATTTACCTTATTCAACATAATTTATACGAATCCGAATTTATCATCAAGTTACAAGAACATCACGTAGAGCATGCTTTTGGATCCTAGACTACCCAGACTTAACATAATAGTGGCTACGCACGGACTCTTGTCACCTAGTGCGTACGTAGCCCCCGCATATAATAGCAATTAAGTCAATTATTACACCTATGGGGACAATTCCCTCTTACAAGGTTAGAAAGGAGACTCACCTCGCTCTAAAGTGCACTTCCAATACCAAGAATGTGTCCAAGCCCTCAATTCGTAGCCGACGATCCCAAACTAGTTAAATGAGGTAGGAACTAGTCAATATAGACTCACAAGATCGAATTCTAGCTACTTAAGCAATTTTCCAACCTTTAACACAAGTTTCCTAAAATCCAACCCCAGGCCCACGTGCCGGGATTCCGAAATTTTCGAAGGAAGTTGTTCTCTATAACCTAAGGATCACTAATATATGATTTCTAATTTATTCCATAAAATATTTTGTGGTTAAATCTAACTTTTATTAAAACCCTAGGTTTTGCTCTAACCCCTTGATTTTACCTAAATTCTAGTGTTTAATCTACCTAAGACACAAGTATTAACCCAAGAATTAGTGGGATAGACTTACCTCAAGATGCTAGGTGGAAGTCTTCTCTCAAAAGCTCCCAAAATCGCCCATGGAGGAGTGAAAAGTGATAAAAATGACTTAGAACCCGTATTAAATGAACCTTACTGCTTTAGCGATTTCCGCATTTGCGGTCAGGGGACCGCATCTACGAAAGGGACTAAAAGGGCTGGGACCGCTTCTGCGGTCTTGAGGCCGCTTCTGCGGTTTGGCATGGCCTTCCCTGGGCCGCATCTGCGGTCTCGCACATGCGTTCCACCAACCGCAGGTGTGGTTATGACAGAAGCAGTAGCTTTAGCACTTCTCAAAAATTTCAACCTCACTCGAGCCTCGTCCGATTGACGCTCGAGGCTCCCGGGCCATGCCCGAACATACCGTCAAGTCTGAAATCACGAGACGGACCTACTTGAACCTTCGGAACGCCCGAAACATTGCTAAATCTAAGAATCACCCCCTAAAACCAAATAAATCAAACTTATGAACTTCAAGTTCTTAATTTTCCTCTAACGAGCCAAAACGCCCTAAAACTACTCGGATTGACACCAAATTTTGCGGGTAAGTCTTAAATGATATTTCGGACCTGTACCGGACTTCGGAACCAACACACGAGCCCGATACCCATTAATTAGTTTCTTTACATCCTTAAAACTTCAAATTAATAATTTCTAATAAAAATTCATTACTCGGGCTAGGGATCTCGGAATTCGATTTCGGACATATGCCTAGGTCCCATATTTTCCTGCGGACCCTCCGGGACCGTCAAATTACGATTCCGGGTCCGTTTGCTCAAAATGTTGACCAAAGTCAAGCTTAGCCTTTTTTAAGAAAATCCTAAGGAATCAAATGGGGCATATTTCACTCCAAACTCTTCCAAATCCCGAACCAACCGTCCCCGTAAGTCGTAAATTAGCTAAAGCAGGTACGGAAAATTTTATTTAAGGAAACGGGGTTCTAAAAGGCAAAACGACCAGTCGGGTCGTTACAAAATTAGTCCAAATCACCTCTAATTTTCCTCAAATTTTGTATATTGACTCATCTATATATTTTCAATAAATTTCAACCGTACACATTGAAAAAGATCCTTTTGTGCTTAGATTTTTGGAATCTTGTATACATACCTTGTTTGCTACCTCATTCATGAATTTCCTTTCTGTCTTGCGTTCTTTGCATGTGATTGAGAAATAACATTATTTATTAGGGTTTTCAATTTGTATGTAGTTGGCTAGTTTTGGTAAGTATATGATTAATGGCTAGAGGTTGGTAAGTTAGTACTTATTTGATACATTTATGTAAGATTCCCAAAATTAAACTCTTGCAAAAATATTTTAATTTTAATTTTTCAAAAAAGGGGAAATTACATATTTGGCCGCTAGGTCAAAACCATTAACAGCTCCTAGCAAATACTAGTATACATTAAACAATAAAACAGTACTCCTATGTTGCAGCAACTACATTGTAAAGACAGTTCAGGATCACCTGTAGTTCATTTCTGAGCTGATGAAAATAACCAGAAGAAAAGATGCTTAAGAGATCCCTCACAGACTTTCCCTTTCTAAACAAAGAAATGATTGGAGCTAGAGTTGTAGGGGGTACTCTAAAGAAGAGAACCCCTCCAAAAATTGGCGTATGCCACCGAGTGCAGCGCTCACACGGTATTCTTTAGTAAAAGGCGAAAGAATAGTTCGCTCTGTGCTCACTGCGTGGCTGCGTGAGCTTTACAATAGCCAGTGCATCCCTTTTTATATTGTAACAAAGTCTGGATTTACTCTTTCTTTTCGATGTGGTACGCCCGTCACTCTTTTTTCACCTTAAGGCTTCAAATTTTATTTCTCTGTCTTCTTCTAGTTCTTCACCAGTCCTGCAGTTAATTACTATATGGTTGAAAATTTACATGTTTCAAAATATAAACAACTTATGCGGTTCTGCATGATTTGTAATCTAATATTCTATTTCGCTTAAGTGTGTAGGTGATTGTGAAGAGGTATATGCTCACCAGCTGATCGACGAAATGCTGCACAGAATGATTTGGACTAAATATCTTGAGTTTCTGATCCAGGTTGGTGTTTAATTGCATAATGGAGGACCCAATTAGGATAAGCAGATCATATAGCAGTTGTCGGTCGATTAAATTGCATGGTTTATATTTACTTTAAGTTTGCCTTACAATGGCATTTAGTACTAGGAACCTTATGTTTACGTTAATTGGTTATAGCCTGAAAAGATAGTGACGTGGACCAAGTGGTGGATAAATAAAAAGCCTAATATTAAATATTATGTGTGTGGATAAATAAAAGGTCTAATATTAACTATTGGCCTGTGATGGGTAGACACTCTTTATAAATAGAGGTCAATCCCCCTTTCCCTAGCTATTAGAAAACCCTAGCGTATTCTACCTCTAGAATACGTGGTAACGGTAGACGTCCCATCAGTCAAGTTCTCCGGGCTGCGAGAGCGCGTAGCTAGTGGATCGTGGAAGTTGGTCTCACACTTAATCGTCGTTTGCTGTCGTTGATGTATTCATGGAGTTAAACGGTATGTTTCCTTAAACTCTAACTCTAGATTGATTGCATAATTGTGTCTTAATCTCTACTATGGCTGCGATTTAATAATCTTACAGTTGATATCAGAGCCACCATAGTTAGAGATTAAGATCAATGAATTAATCTTAGGTTTCGAAATATTTATATTGTTGTTGAATTTCGGACAATGTAACAACATTAGAAAAGTTGTTACACGGTCAGTTTTTGGATGAATTCATCTTTGGCGGCTATAGTCCGTAATTCTTGTTTCTACAAAATGGGTTTTAACCCATTGTAATGGAACCGAATTTATTATACATGGAAGGTTATAGCTTGATGTCGACGATGATAATTTTGATCATCAATTTTACTTTAAAGATGACGGAGGCACATCAACTGTATGTTTCTGTGGAAATATTGTTTTAACCTGGTGGATATTGTCTTTAACTAAATTAATCTTTTATTCTTTTAATTCTTTGGCCCACAATTCTAGAAGTAATTATATTATCCAAAAATTTGTGTTGTTGTCAATTAAGGCAAACATGGAATGTTGAGTGCTTAGTCAGAACTAATCTAAGCACCTTTTGTGACTTATGAAGAACGTCTTTATCCGATTCCTTAATTTTATTACTTGATCAACTTGATTTGTGTTTGATTATTATAATTAGGTGTGTCTGACTGTTAGCATATCATAAACTTTAATAATAAAATTGTTTGTTAGAAACTTTTCTTGATACTTAGTCAGAGGATGGAGTTAATAAATAAAATATATTATAAGGTATGGGGATTATTTTTATCACATTTTAAATAATAATTTATGATTAATAAATAGTTTCCATCAAAGTGGTCTATTTATTTGGGGTCATTGGAAATTCTAAAAATTTTATACATGTAAAATAATATTATACGTGGATTGAGAATTATGATTAATAGATAGTTTCCACCAAAGTGATCTGTTTATTTAGTCATTGAAATATTCTCAATTCACCATGTCTAAATTGTCCTTTACTAGTGTGCGTTAGTGTTGGAGGTTTACCTTTTGATACTAGTGACGCTAAATTAATATGAGAATAGATATTGTGTTTTCCACCTAAAGGAGGAACATAATATCTTGAATTCTCATGTGTATAAATAAGGATAATTTGTTATAAGAGAAAGGCTTTGCGTTTCTTACCTAAAAGAAGGACGCAATGTATGCCTTGTACTCTTGGATAAAGGGGAGTAGGTTTTGTATCTCTTGCCTAAAGGTAAGGATGCAGTGAATGCCTTGGACTCCTTGATCTTTAAAAGGGGAGACAGTTGCATCTTCTACCTAAAGGAGGGGTGTAATGGATGTCTTTGACTCTTTTGATTTATATATTCTTGCCCATAATTTTATTTAATTTTTGTGTGTTTGCTTATACAGCTGTTAACAACATGACTACTCAGTTGAATTTCATTGAAACTCTGACTAGTAGCAATTACAAGAAGTGGAAACAGGATGTTGAGATAGTGTTAGGCCTGATGGACCTGGATTTTGCATTTATTGAACAGAAACCCGCTGAACCCACAACTACTAGCACTACTGATGAAAAGGCTAAGTATGAAAAATGGATGAAGGCTAACAAATTGAGTCTTATGATCATGAAGAGATCCATTTCTGATCACATAAAAGGTGCAATTAAGGATAATGGAAATGCAAAATATTTCTTGAGTGCCATTGGACAGAAATTCCTAGAATCTGATAAAGCTGAGATAGGTAATCTGATGGATTCCCTGTCTACCATAAAGTATGACCTTGTAGGTAGTGTCCGTGATCATATTATGAAATTGGTTAACATTGCTACCAAACCGAATAATTTAAGTGTAACCATTACCGATAATTTTCTTGTTCATCAATCTCTAAGGTCATTTCCTCAGCAGTTTAACCAGCTTAAGACAACCTATAATGCACAAAAGGATAAATGTAGTGTTGATGAACTTATTACTGTTTGTGTGGTAGAGGAAGGGAGTATTCAAAAGGAGAAAGTTAAGGGTATAGTGAATTTTGTTAGTTCGTCTAAATCAGCTGATTATCCCTCTTATAAAAGAAAAGGTGGACCCAAATTTTACAAAAAAAAACATGGTCAGTCTCATTGTCCAGGTGGTAATAGAGGTCATACTAATAAGCCTGGTGTTAACCAAGGTCAGTCTCATAATCCTCTTGGTCCCCAAGCTGTAATTAAGAAAGAAATCAAGTGCTGCGATTGCAAACAAGTAGGTCATAAGAAATTTGGTTGTCCTCTAAAAAAGAAATCAAGATCTAGTAAGCAGACGGAAGCCAAAAGAGGATGAAGCCAGTGTTGTTGTGGGCAATGGACTCAAAGCAAAAGTAGAGTTTATAGGGACATCTATTTTACCTTTTAAAAATAATTCTAGTATTCGTTTAGAAAATACTGTTTTTGTACCGTCTATGAGACAGAAATTAGTTTCGGTTTCCCTTTTGGACAAAGTTGGTTATTCATTTCAACAAAGTAATGGTATTATTAAAATTTCCTATGATTCACGTGCTGTTGCTGATGCCTTTTTAAGTGATGGTCTATATCGCTTGAATATATTGAATGAAACATTTTCTGCAATGCATGTTGAAAATATTGCCCACAAAAGGCCTGCTTTGAGTAAAACGTCTTACCTATTATGGCATAGGCGTCTTGGTCATATTTCTAAAGAAAGAATTGAACGATTGATAAAGGAAAATATTTTATCTGTTCTTGATCCAAAAGATTTTGAAACTTGTGTGGATTGTGTTAAGGGTAAAATGACCAAGGTTAAGAGAAAGGGTTTCACTAGGAGCTCTGAACTCTTAGAAATAATTCATACTGATATTAGTGGACCTTATGTACCTATTTTAACCAATCATAAGTATTTTATTACTTTTATTGATGACTTTTCAAGGTACTGTTATATAATATATATGGACAAAGTTTGGTGATGAACTCAAGTTCACCATTTCTTGTTTTTTGATAAGATGGACAAAGTTGTTATAAGCTATGGACTTATTGGAAATGTTCTGTTCTGACTACTTTTTGTATGAAAATCAGTTATTAATTGCTTGAGTGAAGAGACAAAATTAACTTGGGAGGTCAAGAAGCTTGAGGTTATGAAAGAAGGGCTTTATCAGATTAGGGATGTTCTCATAGACAAAAGCATTGGATATAAGGAAACTCGCCACCAGGAGAGTTTAGTGCACAAGAAGTTGACTAAGACATTGGGCCACTCATCACGATGTGTCTTCACACTTCTTCTTTATTATCTTTATGGTAGCATCTGGGATATTGAAGTTGAAGTTTGTGGAGGACTCTATGCCATTGGTCACGGGGATAAATTCCGTCTATGCATGGGAAAGATTTTAACATCCACTGAGCAGAATATACTGCAGAGTGGGGTTAAACAGCTAAGCAGAGTGCTGGGGCTTTTCAAGTTTGTAGGGGAAACTGCAGGAATGAAAGGCGACCTAGAAGTACAAGGCCATTTGTGTTGCGTTGGTGCGGAGAATAAGTCATTTACCTATAGAAACAATCTGTTCTTCTTGCATTCTATTAGTTACTGATGTGAGACGTTTCTCTGACAATGAGAACTAGAAAGATTCCACCAGAGGATGATGTATTCATCAATGAATGTGTATCGTAGATTAGCATGTGATCAACTATTTGCTGTCATATCATTTTCAGTATTTTAGTTATGATGGGGGAACTTTATGTCTGAGTTACAAGACAATAATCACTTCATTAGTTTGTCACAAATGGTGACACCATATTTCATAAATTGGTTTTGCTATTTAAAGTGTAACCAATTGTAGTGGACTTGCCTTAGTTTATGATGTTATAGGACAATTAAATGTCAGATATTCCTCCTTTTATTTCAACTTTCACAGGCTGGACCAATTCTATCTTGAAAAAGGTCATTATAAGAAAAATGATTTTAAGAAAAGAATTGCTGCCATATTCCGCCAAGTTTTAGTAACTTTGTGATGCTGCTCAATGCTAAGCTCCTTCAACTTAACTGGTGATCTTTTACTTGCTGCCTCTTACGGGACTCACTTATCTCCCCATTTATATATTTGAGGTTTGGAAATTATGATGAATCTCAGGTTGCTCCACAAGCTTTAAAAGATGATGCGATGGGGCTTGTTAATATGATGTTTACAGTAAATAAAGGTTCAACACTATAGTATAACTTGGGCCAAGTTAATTGCCTCTAAAAACGGATCCAGAATTTAAATTTTATTGGTTCAATCTTTAAGGTTTTAGTATTGAACTATTATATTTTTAAAATTATGGATCCGTATCTACTATTTGTTGCAATTTTAGTAAATTCTTTACACATTGTTTCGCATTAAAAGTGCAGGGTTCAAAATAACCCCGTACTCAAACACTACATCAGCCCCTGATCGCCTCTACCAGGTTGGGAAGATCCTGGCCACAATCAATGTTAGGATGTGATTGAGATGGATATCATAGTGACTTATCTATGTAAATAGTGAGTGCTAAAATTATGTTTGTTCAAATCAACGCTGGTTTTCACCGTTCAACAGTCAGCTAAACCATTTATTTGACGCGATGTCTCCTATTGATATCAAAATTCTTGAAGAACGGCATTCTGCTATGTGGAAACTCAGCCGAAAGTATAAACAGAACTAGCACACCTTTTATATTTGCCAAATTTGGTCAGAAAACATGAGATTCTCACAAGGACAACCCAATGGTTAATTTCCTATACTAGGAAAATAGTGGACTGTGGAGCTGCACTCCACCATCTGAATACTTGGCCACTTATTATTACCTCTTTCTGAGTAATACTATTAATGAAAAGTCTCCAAAAATGGTTTTATTTTAAGATGCCCAAATACATCGACAACCCCCTAAAGTGAGATCACTTTTCACTTTACTACTTATTCTTTAATACATTCCATTTAAACACTTTAACCAACTCTTTAATGTGCCACTTAAACACTAAAATCCCTCGAGGCACTCCGCGTGTAAATCACATATAATGAGTGCATGAATGTAAAAGTATAGTCTGACTAGACTATTCCAACGGTAAAAATCCTAAACCCCACGTTATATTAACCCCCCCTTTCCCCTTTCTTCTTCTTCTCCAAGCCCTAATTCCTCTTCTACAATCCAAATTTCTCTGCAAAATTGAAATTTTTTTCTCCAATTTGAAAGACCCCCGTCCTCCTTCGATTTCAGTTGAAGCTTTATTCACATCTTCTCTCTCTCAGTTTGTTGCTTGAGAATGTCTAAAAATTCAGAGAGGACTGATTCGTGCCGATGTGGTCAGGCATGTGTGTTGAAAATCTCATGGAGTTCGGCAATCCCAGGCAGGAGGTATTTTGTATGCAAAAATGGCGTAGTAAGTATATATTTCGATAATCTTTTCTGTTTCTTTGATCTTAATATCGGTACGAATTTGCAGTTTTTAAAATTGATTTAGTTGGATATGTTTTAAAGGACAAAGGAGGATGTAACTACTTCAGATGGTTTGAGGAGGCATTTCCCGACCAAGCAAATAAAGTTATTTGGGGTTTGTTGAAGAGAGTCAAGGCCTTTGATCAAGAAAGGGAACGAGCTAGACAATGGAGGAATAAGTTGTTGTTGTTCTACTAATTGCCGTAATTATATGGTTGTGCTATTGTTCTTGCGATTGTTGATGCCAACAGAATTCTAAAGTGGCTGAAGGTGGTTGATAGTGTAAAAATGGGGATGGTTGTTAGTGTTTTTAGTGTTTGAGAGTTTTTTGGTAGGTGTTGCCTTCTGTTATTTGGATGTTGTTTGTGTACTTTGTGTAACAAGTTATTGTAGGATGTTTACAACATATTTAGCTATTGATGTAATTTACAATGTTTGAATCATATTTTGGTCGAATAGGTTCTAAGAAACAGTTGTTGGAATTCTCATTTGGTGCCTGTTATAGAAGCTGGTAACACTATGAATGTTTTGTGCCTATTCTCAATATGTGCCTATTGATTCTAGTGTTTAAGTAATGCAACCAAATGGTAAGAAATTGGTAACAAATTGGAATGTGTAATCCAAACATCAAAAAATTTCAAGATATAACCTGCTGATAGCCTTTTTTAGAAGTTGTAAACAACTTGCAAGACACATTTTGTAACCATAAATAATGACTTTAAACATAATAACAAAAGGGAATTAAATCACATAATCCAAACAGGTTCTACAAATGTGAAAAAGTACAGCACATTACAAGCAGTCAAACCATAATGACAAAATAAGGTTCAACAAAATACAATAGGTTCTTGGCAAGTCACTCATAACTATTTGCTGCAATCCAAGTCATTATAGAATCCATATTGCTGTTACAGTACAAATTGTTGTAAACTAAAAACTGTCAACTACAAAATCCAAGTCACTGAAGCTATTTCTTGGCAAATTTATCCATGATCACTGGAGTTGCAACTTTTTGTGGTGGTTGTTGATTTGTGGGTTGTCCAACTTTATTTCTTCGACTTGCACTCATTTGCTGAAGTTGGGAGTATTAATTGCATCTCCTCCGTTCAATCTTAGTCCTGGTAGCCTAATTCTATCACTTGGCTGCACATTTGTGGTACTACTCAACCTACTCCCATAGTTGATAACCCTTTCACCAGTAGTACCAGGCTGAAAATTTATAAAGTCCGTAACATTAGACAGGGAAAAGTCAAAGAGTACTAAATTAATGAATTGTACTTTCATTGAGGACTATTCTTCCAATCTCCGGGCTAGTGTAGCATCCAAATCCAACATGTCTTGACCTTTTTGGTCTAGCAGCACGTGAAGATCCTGTTGAAGATCCCCTTTTCATACAAGTTGAAGTTCCTCTTCCTCTTGGTATTGTACCCCTTCCTCTAGGAGCAATTTGAGGAATAGCATCTGAGAATATATCCCTGGTAGGTCTAATTGTTGTACTACTTGCCTTTCCTCTACCCCTTCCCTTACCCCTTCCTCCAGTAGTTGCACTTATTTGGGTACCATTGCCACTTCCTCCAGCAGTTGCACCAGNATGTAGTGAAGTTATAGAAACACAGTAAGATAAAGAAACTATAGTGAAGTTCAAGAAAATGCAGTGAAGTTAACATGCAGTGAAATTTCAAGAAAATGCAGCATTCGTACCCTTGTTGGACATCTTTTTTTTTGTGGCCAAGTGGATGAGATTATGAACAAGTCATTTTAGCTCCTTTTTTGGACAGTTTGCCCCATTTCTTCTATTATTTTGGGGTCTGCCTGGCATTGGCTTTGGTGCTGGTGGTTCAATTGGAGGATTGTTACTCAATGGCTACATTTCTAAGTTAGGAATTGGCTAAATGAAATGCTCATAAGCCTGTAGAAATTTATCCTTTCTGTACCAGTGCTCACATGTTCATCTGGATCCTGCTGTAAGCAATAATATATATACACTGCATGTTCACATGGGATGCCTCTCAACTTCCACAACCTACAAGTGCAAGTATTGAATGTATTATTTACTACAAACCTTAACTCTTTCTGTTTGATTTCAAATCCATCCTGGCCATTCCATATAATTATGCACTGTCTAGCTAACTCGTTGTTCTCTTCTAATATTAACCTAAGCATAGGCGATATATCTGAAATCCATGTCTCAACAAACCTAATCATATCAACATGTCTAGCCATGATCTTGTGCCTAATTTCTTCTAATATGGTAATAATACTCGTGTGCCTAACAGCCAATATCCATAAATTAAAAGTCTCACACATGTTATTCTCTACCATGTCAAAAACCTGGAATGTTCTTGGAAGAAAGCTCTGCACCATGCCTCCATTGGATACTTCATCATGTCTTCACATATATTCTGTGAGCCAAGTTTCCTCATGTTCTCAACTTCTTTGTTGTATTTAAAGACATAGCTTGCCTTTGAAACCTTTCAGAATTGCTTTCTTTTTTCTTCACCCCTCCATTTCTTTGACCAATTAGATCATATGTGCCTTGCAAATATCCTGACTTCTGCATCAGGAAACAAGTCCTTTCCGGTTGCCAAAAATCCCTACATAAAAATGTAGGCAAAATAAAACATTAGGAATTAAAACAAAAAAGGTACTACTGTTAACAAGCAAGAATAGCAAAACATTTACCTTCTGCA